TTATACCATACTAATCATATTCTGTCTAAAAAACTTAAGAAGAGGAATATTTCAAAGTTGAAGATTAATAAATCACTCCTAATAGGAAGACTATATACGACCCCTACCAATTTTAGTTGAAGAAATGACTTTTTTTTTATAAATAAAGAGTCTGATTCCGCATACATTGAGACTTACCGAAGATTTTAGAGAATAAACTAGTACTCCTCTGGTCCTAAATATAAGATCTCTTTTGTAGTGTAAATTATACTTTGAAAGGGGTCTTATGTTTAGGAACAGAGGAATAGCTTTTATGAAAATATAATGACAATGAAATGAAATATTAAGAGAATAAAGAATGTAATAAAATCTGAAAAATAAATTATTACCTTGTCATTTTTCATGAAATGAAAAACATCCTGGGGTCTCCAAAGTCGAATGGGTTTTTCAGGGTTAGATATTAATTGTTGCTGAGAAATTTCAAGCCCCATCTCCACTAATAGAGCATGCATCTCAATATTACCATATCTATCCACTGAAATGAGGGATCTCTCTTTAAGTACACTTATCTCAATACGTGCATGAGAGCCATATAAGCCTCTTGTACAATCTAGAGAAATCCCATGTCCTACGTTCAAGAAAAATGCTAGGTCAAGAAATACATTCTTCTGCATGTCATCATCAAGTCCATCAAAACTCAATTTCAACACTTTAAAAATGTCCTTGTGAAGAGTATGATTTAGTTTTGTCAGAGCACTGTCCCATACTTCTTTTCCTCTGCCATGAAGAAAGCAACCCAACACTTTTAGAGCTAAAGGATTTCCATGACAATAATACACTGCCTGCTTTGATAACTCCAAGTAGTTTTTGAATGGCTGATTTTGCTTAAAAGCTTTCAAACTAAAGAGATGAAGAGCATCATGGTGATACATTGTTGGAACACGATATGTTAGAAATGCAGAAGTATTTTTAAGCACTTGCATGTCTCTTGATGTGATAATAATTCTACTTCCTTTCCCAAACCAACCACATGCTTTGATTAAATTTTCAGCCGCCATAAAATTGTCCACATCATCAAGTACCAGAAGAATTTTTTTACGGTGAAGCCTTCTTCTCACAAAATCAGACCTTAAATTGTAAGTGTTAATCTCCTCATCTTTTAATAATTCTTTAAGGCATTTTTCCTGTAATGCATTCAAGCCACCATTCTTTTCCAGCAGTTTCTTACATCTTCAACAAAGCAGGAAGCTTCAAACTCTGCTCTCAACCTCTCAAATACGGCACTAGCAAGAGTGGTCTTGCCTATACCACCCATACCCCATATTCCCACAATGTGAGCTTCACTCAGTAGCTCTTCAACTTCCTGAATCTGATGATCAATTCCAACTAGTCCTTCCACATGAAAGGACGACTTGCGATTCAATTTGCTCAAAATATCTTTGACAATCTTTTTGACAAGTTTAGCTTCAGGCCTAGCATAAATATAAATTAAAATCATGGTTATGTTTAATACCCAAATTTAAGAAAGAAATATGTAAGAGAAGAATGAGCATAACAAAAGCTACCTGATATTTTTTGAATCCCACCCAAATAGACTTGCTACTTTGATCAAAGCATTTTCCCACTTCTGCACTCTTTCTTGGTTGTGCTTAAATCTCTGCTTGAGCTTAGCAAACCCATCTCCAAAACTCCCATTCTGTTTGCGAATATTTGATGGATCTACCTGGAAGAAAATTGGGATGACAAGCCTTCCGTATTTATCCTTACATTTCATAATATGAAAGAGCTCATCCATACACCAAGTTGAAGAAGCATAATCTTTGGAGAAAATAATCAAAGATATCTCTGATTCTTCTATTGTTTTCAAGAGAATAGATGAGATATGATCTCCTTTGTGGAGCTTGTGATCCATAAAAGTATGAATGTTAGCTTCGCGAAGTGCTTCATAGAGATAACTTGAGAAAGCGTCACGAGTATCTTCCCCTCTAAAGCTAAGAAAGACGTCATATTTGGTCGCAGAAGGAGCAACAATGATATTAGAAGGAGAAGAAACCGTGGGAATCGAATCAACAGCATCTTTACAACTACAGATGGAAAGAAATCTTCATGAATAATAAATATTGGTCTATCAGCAAACCGTATAAAGTGAACAATTAAAGAAGATGTTACCTATCAGGAAGCGGAGAGATTAATCTGATAGCCTTAGAAATTGCTATAGCCAGCAAAATCAAGATAGCTTCTATAAGCGTTAAAGAAAAGGTTGCATCCATGTGACTGTAATCTCTTGTTTTAACCTGAAACTTTTCACCAACCCGAAATTAGCGTGATCAAGCAATTTTTTTTTGGCTTTAACTTCTCAGGAGGTGCCATGGTTTGGTTCTTGATTAACGTGATAAAAATATCCAACAAAAATATTTAGGGAGCGAGAACAAGTTACAGAACGATTGATGCTGAAATGAAGAACATGTCTTTATGGATAGAATAATGCGAAAGAAAGAATTCATCACGTGATCAACTTACTAGTCAAGTGCACCCAACAACTTTACTGATTCATTTGATGTTTTTTTATCAACAACTTATCTAAAAGAAGCTATAGTGAGTAAAAGTCCATGTGTTGAAGGCACATCAGGCCCTGTGTTAATTTCTTTATTTTGTCAGAAGTTGCTGGACTGAATTAATGGATACGTATTAATGTTTGCATGATTTCTGTGAAAAATAAAACCGTATCTAGCAAGTGGATCATGAAAAAGAGAGAAAAAGCCCTGTTCGTTTGTATCAATGCCTTTTTCACGTGTAACAACGAAATGGGGAGTGATTAAGGTGAAAGGAAGAACAAGCACTTTGCTTTCCTATAAAATAAATAAATGGGCCATTTATTTCATTAAGGATCCATTTGTTATAAGGAAACTAAATGGATGGCAGGGAAATAGAGGAAAAGTTTTAATAAGTTTGATTAGAAAAATTGAAGAAGTGGAATTAAAAGCTTTTAATTAATATTATTACTATTTTATATTACTTCTTATTTTTATTAAAATTTTAAAAACGCCACTTCTCTAATTTTTTTTAAATGGAGCTCAATAAAATTTTTCTTCCCCTCTCCTCCCCTTCATTTCCTTCATAACAAACAGTATTTAAAATTTGAATAAAATAAATGAAGACTATAATCAATATATCAAGTCCACCCATATCTTAGAAGGTTTTGGGACTTTGTTTTTCAGAAGTATAAAAAATTTCAAATGTTGAAGTTTTCTTAGATCCACAACTATAAGGTAATTAGGGAGGAGAATAAAATCAACAGGTGCCACAAGGAAAAGAAAACCGCAAATCTAATGCAGAATTTTTCTGTGAAAATTTCGCGAAAAAAGCTTGCAAAACAGTAGATGGAAGTAACAGAGAAGAACGTCAGCTTCATAACTTGCAAACTTGCTTTCTCTTTAGACAAGATCTTCAGATTCAGAGATCCCCGAATGCCTCACTCACATGTATTTATCTTTGTTTCAGAGGCTCTTATTCCTGTGCCGGGAAGCTTGCGTGTTGATGGTTTGGCTCTTGATTAACGTGATAGAAAGATCAAAGAAAAATATTTAGGAAGTTGCAAAAAGTTACTGACCGATCAATATATAGCAATTTGATGGAGAGTAACGATTGATACTAAAATGAAGAACATATATCTATGGATGGAATAATAGTAGTGCGAAAGAAAGAGTTCATCATGGGGCGCAACATACCAGTCAAGTCCACCCAACAACTTTACTGATTTATTTGATTTTTTTTCACCAACAACTTAATTTATTTTAAAAGAAGCAGAGCTATAGTGAGTAAAAATACATGTGTTGAGGGCGTATTAACCATGCCGTGTGTTAATGGTTTTTTTCTTTCAAAATAAGTTGGACTGAATAAATTGATATATCTTGATGTTTTTTAATTTTTGTTTTCCGTGCACAAAAGCAAAACAGTAGAAATTCCAGGAAAATACTGGTAAAACTGGAGATCGGCGGGATCAAGCAAATGGAACATGAGAAAAGAGAATACGCCCTGTTGATTGCCTTTTTCACACACAGCAACAAAGCGGGGAGTGATTAAGGTGAATGAAAGAAGCACTTCACTTTTTCAAATAAAATAAATAAATCAGCCATCTACCTCACTAAGAAAAATATTAATAAATAAATGAAGAACTTCATCAATAAATCAAGTGCGTCCATATCTTTGAAGGTTTTAGGACTTTGTTTTTTCAGAAGTTGAAGTATAAAAGAAATTCAAATGTTTAAGTTTTATTAGATCTACGACAGTAAGGGAGCTAAGGAGGAGATTGAATCAACAGCATTAGGAGAAGAAATAAAACAAAAAATCTTTTGCAGGCAGCAGAATAGAAGGATGATGGATTCATGGGATAAAGAGAGTAAAAGAGAAGAAATAACCTGGATGCGGAGGGAAGCAAAAGAAACAGCTCACAAGCTAAGGGCGGTCTCAAAAATGGCAGCTTTCTCAGAATTTGCAGACAATTGCTTTCTCTTCAAACAAGTTGCTCAGATAAAGAGATGAACAAATGCCTCGATCCCTCACATATTTATGTCTTGTTTCAGCCTTTGTTGTCAACAAGTGAAGTCAAGTCGTGCCGCGTCTGTCACTTTTGTGGATTGTTGCTTCATTGTATCATCATTCAGCCATTCGCTTTTTCGCAGGGTGAGAGTGTGTCTCTTTTTCTCTTTCCCTTTCTTTTTCTCTTCTTAAATGTTTCGAAAGTGGGACGAGGTTGCAAGACAACTAAACTTTACTTATTTATTCCATGTTTTTTTTTTTATCAACAACAACTTTATTTATTTTACAACTAGCTATAGGGAATAAAAGTACGCATGTTGAAGTTGTTTAATGGTTTTGGTTCTTTAATTTCTTTATTATTTCTTTTACAAAGAAATTTCCAAGCTTCAGCTCTTGTGGCCGACATAGCGTTACGTTCTTTATGAGTACCGCACTGTTTGACGATTAAGCAAATGCATATTTTGGAGGCTCTAATATCCCACCTCTCTCCAATGTTTATTGTAATAGCCCAACCTTCTTATTACTCTGTCCCGTATTAAATATAAGAACTACACATCTAATCTTAATTTTAAGAGATTAAAAAAAAATTAGTTCAGATAATTATTTATGAAAAAATATTCTTACTATTATATGCGGTCAATGTGTAAATTTTCCTAAAATACCTTTTATATAATTGTGGTAATTTCGTATTCCACACCTTAGAATGAGAACATGTGGGATGCTTATATTCACTTCAAATTAAAAGAAAGAAGCAGGGATAGAAGTGTAGTAAATTTTCTTCTTCTTCTTTTTTTTTGTGTGTAAAGAAGTTAAAAATGATTTACACAAAACAGAGGGAGCATTATTTACCGACATCTCTTTCTTCTTTGAGAGCTCTCGAGGTATTGGGGGATGATTGTTTGTTTTGGTGCTTTAATGGTGTTCTTTGAAAATATATCTTTTTGGCAAAATGTTCTTTTTTTGTCACATATTTATGGGCTCTGATATGGCCGAGAAACAGAGTAAACCACACTCGTTCATGATTTTGCATGTGAGAAATTCTTGTTAGGGTGCAACCTGATGATGCATTAATAGTTATCCTTCTAAGCAATAGCGATCTCTATAAACATCAAATTAGCGATGGAATTTAATGACAAAATTTTCATCACTAATCAAAATTACCCACGATTAGTGACGGAATTCAGTGAGCGACGGAATTTTTCCGTCACTAATTCCACCGCCACTAATTAGTGACAAATTATTAACGGATTAGAAATGAAAATTTTCCGTCGCTAATTAGTGTGGATATCCCACAAAAATTCTGTCACAAAATAATGATGGAGATGAAAATTTTCATTTTTTATTTTGTAAATTTAAAATACCACATCATCACCACGTGTCCATCACTATGAGCCGCCACGTCATCAATAGCTACCACCTCACCAATTCCTTTATCTCTCTCCCATGTTGCCACGTCATCTCTTCGTCCACATTATTGCCACGTGTCCATCATTGGATGCCATGTCAACTCCTCCTCTCTCCCATGCAGCCACATCATCATATCATCCACATCATCACCACGTCACAAATTGAGCCAATTTCTAAAGAAGTGTTGGTTCGAACCTGAGAGCCTTTGCCAGTTGAGCTAAGAAACACCTGTGAAATTCTCTTACAAAAATAAATATATATAATATTTCTAATAACAAATACAAAAATATATAATAAATATTATGTACATAATTTAATATATATTATATAATTAAATATATTATTATTATTTGAATTTAATTTTATATTTTAGTTAAAAATTTCTAATAATTTATATTTTTATTCAAATATTTAATAAAATAATAAGTATATTATATATTTTTATTTTTATTTTCTTCTATAATATTTGTATTTTTTAATTTTTATTATTTAAAAATTATGATATATTTATTTTATTTTAATAATAAGTTTAAAAAATAATTATTATATATTTATATTATTTTTTTGTGATGGATTAGTGACGGAATTGCGATGAAAATTAGTGATAGAAAATTCCATCACTAGGTTCCGTCACAAAATGAGAGTTAGTGATGGATTGGTGACGGAATGTTTCCATCACTAATCATTTAAAACAAAATTATCAACAAACTTGTAACAAATATAGTGACTGAATAAGATTCTGCACTAATCCTTCACTATTTAGTGACAAAAATTTTCTGTCATTAAATTCCGTCACTAATTTTAATGACAGAATTTGTGAGGAATTAACTACGGAATAAAATTTCATTGCTAAATTCCGTCACTAATACCCTGTTTTTTTTTTGTAGTGTATTAGGCTTCGGACATGATTGAACCTTTTTGTCGTTCTTGTTTTTCATCTTTTGTGTTAGGGGACGGGCTAGAAAATATTATTTCTTACACCTATGTGCATGTGCATAAAACTGATCAGATAAACACTGTGACATAGTTAATGTTATTCATGATTGCATTTTGTAGATTCACACCTTTCGGGGACAACTGTTGCTGCTGCATTTAAAGGCAAATTACAGGTTTTTAATCAGGTCTGGCTTTTTAACTTCACCAAGGATTCTGTTATGTGATAGGTAGGCTATTTTACTCTTAACATGTCCATCGCAGGATATAAGCCACCAAGTTGCTACTTATATGAGGGATACTAGTAGAATGATCAAACAAATAAGGCTGAGAACATCTACTGTTAGTATATTTGGAAATATAAGTCAGTGTTATCATTTTTGTTTTTGAA